ATGAATTACCTCAGTCTTTTTCTCTCTCACACACACACACACACACACACACCTGAGAGTCTTCCTGTGCATGTCTTCCTCTGTGATCCCGACATAAGTGAGCGTTTCATTCCACACTGGATTCAGAGAGTTACGAATCGTCTTTGTTTTCAGCTTATTGGCCTGAAGGACACACAGACACATATAACGATGAATACTGAATTCAGTTTAGAACTTGACAGTGCAGCGAATCACTGCACTTTATGTAGTACAGAAAATGTGTCTTGATCTCTTTAGTATTTCGATTACTGTCGTCGTTTCTATTTTTTGTTGGAGAACATTTAGACTTGAGTTAATGGGGTCTAAACAGTCACTGCGGTCAGGTTACAGACAGAACATCTGATCTCTAGTAAAAGATTTCACTTCACAAAAAATTCATTTGCCATCATAACCAGAACAGCTAGTGAATTCTGCCGTTCAATCAATGCTGCCTTTACTTTATTTCCTGGGTTTTATGCTCCACACATCAGCTGTGAGTGAGAAATGTTTAATGTCATGACTTTTAAATGTCTTCTGAAAGTCCTGAAATCAGCTAAATCCATAATGTCAGCTACAACAGAATATTTAAAAGATACCTGTTTATCATTTCTACACCCAAACCATATCAAAATAACAGCATAACTCCAACATACATACATTTTATTTCCATTTCAAATAACAAATCTAAAGCTTAGGGGTTTCAATCAAGAAAAGATTTTTTTTTAAATTGTCATGGAGCAGTTTATCTTAAACTCAAATGAACTGAATACTTGTTGGTTAAACTGTGTTCCAGTGTGAATCATAAAAAACACATGATATGGTTGTGTCTTACCTTAGAGGCTCCAGGCAGCAGGTGGAGTTTGACGTATGGGTCAGCTAAACCATTGAAGTCCATGGGCTTCAGACCCTGCACACAAAAACAACAGCAGTTCACGTATTGTCTAGTTACTAGGTTAGTTTTGGTGTCTTAGTAAAAATAAAGCCACGCCAATCACTCTGAACTGTAATAGAAGGGATAACATCATAAGAATGCACAAAACCAGCCACTAGTAAAGGACAGGTTGGTTATTTCCTTGCTTTGTTTCAGAAGAAATAGTTCTGCCTAGAGTCCCTAATGTTCTGTGACATCAAGTTTTTTATAGTAGTTATAGCCACAATTTTAACAACAGGCATGGATCGAAGGGATATTTTTAACTTCCTGTTTCAAAAACCAGTGCAAAGCAACAAACTGCTATGTATAAGGGAATGAAAATATGGAATGGTTGCATTTATTATATTGCATATGTTGCAGAACATAGATTATCCTGGTTTAATGCTCTGATTTAGCATTACACTCTTATAACTGGACCCATATTGGGCAATTTAATACATTTATGCAGCAGAGCCAGAGAAATCATTTTGCATATTCCACATATTCTTCTTCCTTGCCAAAAAGCTTCCCCTTCCATGACAACTGTATAAGGGGTGATTATATAATATAACTTGCCCATTTAAATGATATTGAGACTAAAAGTTACACATAATTAAGGGCATGTCCACACTGACAAGCGGGAGGGTCCACCTCTGGTGGCTAGCTGTTAGATGACTAGCAAGCTTCACTCATGTGTCACTTCTTTGCCCATTTTTGGATTAACTGGAAGTAGGTGTTTGAAGTACTAGAAAAACTGCAACGGCAAGAGTTAAGCTTCAGACCACTTCTCAGAAAGCCAATGTCCAGTGGTGAAAGAAAAACTCTGATCCTTAAGCAGGAACTTAACAGTGTAAAAATACTTTAAGTAAAAGTCCTGAATTCAAAATGTTACTTAAGTAAAAGTACAAAAGTATTTGCATCAAAACATATTTAAAGTACTAAAAGGAAAAGTACTGATTATGTAGAATGGCACATTTCACATTCCTCTATACCATATTATTGTATTATAATTACTGATACATTATTGTGGACATCACATTTAATGTTGCGGCTGCTAACGGGGGAGCTAGTTTTTTTATTTTATTATTTATTTATTTATTTATTCCAAGCATGTAATAAAAGAGAGAAAAAGAAAAAAAAGGAAATCAACATGTAACACAAAACAACCAAACCAATTAACATATACAACCAAAGATAGAAATTTCTCTCGATGATGCTTCTAGCTTGCGAATTTTCCACTATGGATCAATGAGGTCTGATAATGTGTAGCTTTTGTATTAACCTGGTTATGAAACCAGTTATATAACCAAAGTTATAAAATAAATGTAGTGGACTAAAAAGCACAACATTTGCCTCTAAAAATGTAGTAAAATCAAAGTATAAAGTAACAGAAAGTGAAAAGACCTCAAATTTGTACTTGAGTAAATGTAATTAGTTACTTCTGTTACTGCCGTCATTTCTATTTTTTGTTGGAGAACATTTAGACTTGAGTTAATGGGGTCTAAACAGTCTAAACGGTCTAATGGGGGGGGGGGGAATATGGGAAAAAAAGGTAAAAGGTTTGAGACAGGTGTAATAAACCACAAATAAAACTGAAGTTCTTGGGTAAACAGAAAATGCTGGCTGAATTTGAGGGATATTGGTTTTGATGTTGATACTCCTTTTCAGGTCAAATCTCACGTCATCATTACTAGTTACTGCTGTTTGTATTTATGAATCTAGTAGTCACTTCTTTTTCAGAATTAGTCATGTGTAATCAAATTTGTACATATCCCTTCCATGTAATCTGTGTTTGTTCCAGGCCTCACAAATCTTCTTCACTAATATGAACACCATGTGTCTCATGATAATAAATGATTTAGGACCGTAAAGTCTAAAAGAGACAGCAGGATGGATGATTGCTCCTCATAGCCAAAAGACCAAATGAAACACTTGATTTGAATCTCTTGACCTCATCAACAAACCACAAATTATCGTGACAAATTGATCCTAGATTTCTTTGACATTTGCGGGGATGGCTTTTTTGTTTTTGCTGGACATTTTGGTTTTCTTCACAGCATTTTTAATGAGGCTGAGTGAAAAGGCTTTGAGACTGTGGCATTGTAGACATGGTCCATAGTTCAGTCTCACAAGTGATAGAGGACAGATATGCAACTCTAATTACAGTGAGCTTCCCTCAGAACCGGCCTGACATGTACGTGCCCTGCTTAGGGCCCCCATGGCCACAGGACCCCTGAGAATACTTGAAATGTTCCACAAGCAGAGCCCTATCCTCACCATGCAAGTTGCACAGAGCTCCGCAAATTATGCAAGGCCCCACCTTCAACTTGTTGCAGAGTGGGTGTTAATGTTAACAGCTCTGTGGGAACAGCAATGATGTAAATGTGTGTTCTCTCCTCTCCAACTCTGATGTCTGCAGAAAACAGTAATGTTAAGTTGACGTGCTGCTTTGCAGTGCACTCTGTCTGCCTTGCCTGCCAGCCATTTCCAGGGCTGTGTTCCCTGGCTTGTGCCTTACAGTGAGAGTGAAATACAACTATTTATTATGTTTAAAAAACACCAACGGGCAATGCGAATTATAAACTGCAGCTCAGAAAAGATAACCATGTTGCAAGTGAACATTACATTCATATGTGCGCACAAAATGTAGCTCACCGCTGCAGTAACCTCTGTGGGGACCAGTCCAGACAGTATATGGGTGTGATGGCACTCCTCATAGGTGCACATAATTTTAAAACAAGACAATGGTGATCTAGTCTGTCACTCATGGTTTAGTTAAACATTTTGAATTCATTTAAAAAGCTGGAATGGGGCTAAAAATAATAATAGTATTGTTATCTATGATTTAGAGGAGATGCTGGATCATCGGACTCAGGTGATTCACATCCAGCCTCCGCCATTACTAGCACAGACCGTTTTCAGATTCATAGTCATCTTAGAATTCTACAGACAATATTCTGTTCAATGGTGGCACAGCGGCGTGGTAGTTAGGGCTGACACCTCACAGCAAGAAGGTTCCAGGTTTGATCCCAGGCCAACGAGGGTTCTTTCTGTGTGGAGTTTGCATATCCTCCCTGTGCCTATATGGGTTCTCTTTGGGTACTCCAGCTTCCTCCCACAATCCAAAGACACACAGCTTAGGTTGGTTGGTGACTCTAAATTGCCTGTAGGAGTGAGTGTGTGTGGTTGTTTGTCTACATGTCAGCCCTGTGATAGACTGGTGACCTGTCCAGAGTGTACCCCACCTCTCACTCAATGTCGGCTGGGATTGGCCCCAGCCCCTTCATGACCCTGTTCAGGAATGAGTGGTATAGATGATGGGTGGGTGGATGGATAAATGTTCTGTTCAATAAATATAAGTTGTACAGTGTATACTTCATTCTGTTTTGTATAGTTCTACTTATTCTTTGACAGGTGGAACAAACAGTTTTAAGGAGGGAAGGCTGTGGTGGGAGCACTAGGCAGTCAGGTATGACTGTATGTCAATGGCAAATTGTTTACATGGCTCACATGTGAGGAAGGAGGGCGCCTTTGAGGTAAGGGCTGGCTCAGGTCATTTTTGCCAATCAAAAGCTATACAATAACCCACAATGACAAAGTGAAAACGTGTTTTTAGCAAAGATTGCAAAATTATTAAAAAGTCAGTATTCAGCCCGTTCTCTGTGACACTACAGATTGTGCTCAGGTGCACCCTGTTTGCTTTCATTTTCCTTGAGATGCGTCTAGAACTTGGTTGGAGTCCACCTGTGACAAACTGAATTGATTGGACCTAGAGTTTGAACTCATCTAACAAAGACATCTCTGCAGTCCTTCTGTTCAACACCACTCCTGTGTAGATACAACAACTGTATAGAACAGTCTCTTGTTTAGTCATGAAACAAACTAAACTCTGTATCACAAAGTAAATTAAAGAACGTTAACCCTTAAAGTGGAGATTATAATTAAAGCCTGATAGACCCGCATCTTGTATGATGCATCCATCTAGTGCTGTGGTGGAGGTGTCAACTCTAACATTCAAGACAAGTCGGGTTACAGAAGCTTGGTGAACGACATTCTTGTTTATGGAGAGGAGAATAACCTCATCCTCAACATAAATAAGACAAAAGAAATAATAGTAGACTTCAGGAAGAACCCCTCCCCTCTGCTGCCTCTGACCATCAAAGGGACTGAGGTGGAAAGGGTTGACAGCCCCAAGTTCCTGGGCCTGCAGGTGACATCTGACCTGAGTTGGTCACTGAACACAGCTGCCACAGTGAAGAAAGCCCAGCAGTGGCTATACTTCATCAGGCGGCTCAGAAAAGCTGGGTTGAACTATTGCCCTCTCACCCAGGCTTATAGAGGACTGGTAGAGAGCATCCTCACTACTGGCATCACAGTCTGGTATGGTAACACCACACAGGCAGAGAGGAAGACTCTTCAAAGGGTCATAAAGACTGCAGAGAGGATCACTGGGACTGAACTGCCTGCTATGGACACACTCCTACAGCCTCAGGCACAGCAGGGCGGACAGTATCATCACACACGGAACAAGACTTTACAACAACTTTTTCCCTGCCGCAGTAAGACTGATGGCAAATACGAAAATGTGAGAATATATGTGCAATAACCCCTCACTAGACATGTGCAATAATAATACAGAAATGTTCCACAAGGTATGTTTGTAAGAGCATCTCATCAACAGTGTTCTCTTGGGGGACCTGAATAATAGCAGGACATTCTCTACCACGCAATGGAAACAGGCCTGAATATAAACTGTGTTTTAGTATGTTATAACCCCTCACTACCTCAACAAGTGTAGTGACATATCCAACTCCACCATGTGAATTATTAAGTGCGATGTTTGAAGTTTACTGTGGAAAATAATATTACCCTATTTTTGTGTAATGTAGTTTTAATGCTTTGTCGCCTTTCTGTAACTTTTTATTTTAAGACTAAGTGTTCTTTCTGGCTTTTGACTCCAAGAGAGATGCACAAGAATTCCTATATGCCTAGACTGTCTGTTTATGTATAAATGGCAAATAAAAATATTGACTTGAAATCAAAACCTACACAGCAGGTAGTTAGAATGGGGCAACTGTTTCCTTATGTCAAGTCTAACACCAACATACAGTACAAACACATCAGGCTGACAAAGTCCAACACAGACCAGTCAAATCTGAGAGTGAAGAGCTGAACTCATCAGCCAGAGCCTGCAATGTCTTAAAAGAATCGTTATTTAAGATAAACCCTTCTGATTTAGAGTCAACATGTGTTTCTCCTGGCACCATCATCAAGAGAAACTTTGCAGTTAATGAAATAGAGGTAAGAATCTAGGAAAGCAGCCTCAGTTTTCAACTATCCAGTGTTATTTTTCTAGTGACTAACAAGCATTACAGCCTGGGAGAGGTGCTGCTGCTAGTGTGGCTACAGGCAAGTACCTTCACAACAGGTGGTACTGAGTTAATCTGCATGTTTATTTCCAAAGCTGCTTCTTTCTCTGCTCTAGAAATGAATTGATGCCAAGAGGGAAATCATTAACATTCAAGTAGGTACGCAAATAAAGAAGACACTGGAGGGCACAGAGGATACAAAGCTCAGTGACAGCAGGCGCTCAGATTATCTCCTATTACTTAGATAACGAAGTAATTTGAACTCCACTTTAGTTTCCACCTGTGTGCTTTCCTCTAATGTTGTTCCTCTTTGCGATACTGTTATATATGTCTGCTGTATTTTAACCCATTAAACTATACCTGCAAAATCATGTAGCTGCAGTGTGAGAGATGCAGGACCCACAGAAATATCTGAATCTGATTACAACTGTGTCATGATGATCTTAGTGCAACTGAGTTTACAATGTGGAGTAACACAGCTGCTTTAAAAGACACCGGTTTGTCACACTCCAGCTTTTGTGTGTACGTGAAGCAGCAGGTTTTCATTATCTCCCAGCTGAAAATAAGACTGCACCATCCTCTGAATATCTTACTTTAATCACAGAAAAGTTTCCTAACTGCTTACTCTGCACCACCTTAATTTGCTTGCAAGGGTCCATTCAAGTTTCTTATCTTGTATTTTTGGCTTTAGATCTGGACTAGTTCAACTTTTTTTATGTAGGAGTCAGTAAGGCATCCTTAGGTCATATGCATCTAGTTCAAAATGCAGCAGCAAGACCAGGCCTCATTTCACTGGTTACCAATTAAATATAAAGTTGATTTTAAATCACTGCATGGTTTGGTGCCAGTTTACATGCCTGAATTCCACATCCCACATTTGGCATCCAGACCCCTCAGATCCTCAATTACTCATCACTATTCCGTGCTCACAGTCCAAATCTGACAGAGTTGTTTCCATTGCTGCTGCTGCATCATGTGGAGCACTTTACTGCTTAGTGTCAGATCCTCCACATCGGTTGCCTCTTTTGAATCCCCTGGCTGAAGCCTCACCATTATACAGTTGCTTTTGAGTCCTCACAATAATTAACTTAATGGGTACCCACTGATTTTATTTCCATTATTTAATAAATTTTAAAATCAAAATGTTGTCTAGTGTAGCAAGTAAAGAAAAATTTTACTTTATGCAAATATCCTCTGAGGCACAGGAGTGATACAAGCACTCATCCTTATTTTGAAGACCAGGTTGCACCTTTTACATGACTATGTAAAGTACTTCTGAAACAGAATAAAGAGCTAATTATCTCTAAAACAGTTTCACAATTCACTATGCTAGAACATTAACAATCTACCAGTACATAAAGAAAAACTAATAATGTTTGGAAACATGTCACCTTGTCATTAACCAGTCTGAGCTCATTAGGTAAATTACAAGGCCAGCCAGGGTTGCCAATCCACCTGTATCTGCTGGTATTCTGGGATTTTATGTGTCTGTATGTTGGGGGGAGGGGGTGAATTGCCATCTCCCAGCTTCTAATTGACTGAGCACATCTGATCCAGGTAATCAGCAGTCAGTAGGGCAGGGGTAGCTGGAAAATAAGCAGGGCAGTGGCCCTCAAGGATCTGAATTGCCTACACCTGGTCTAGAGACCACCCCTTTGTTTTGGTGCTGTAAAATTGATTTGCAGAGCTACATCCACCTTTGCCACTTAAAAATACTGTAACAATTATAGAATAGTTCACATGAGCAGAAGAGGACATTGTCACAGAAACACGTCACAGTGCTGCAGTTTCAGAAAACAGCTGTCCAGCCAGTATGTAGTGTAAATGATGTGCTCAACAAAGCAGTATGTGTGAAGGTACAGTCTAGTGGCTGAACTGGACCAAGCCAGATCCCAAAATCTGGTTAAACGCATTGAACCAGAAGAGCGGATGCTGTTTTACAGCAGATTAATTACGTGTCAACAAACTATAACCTATGGCTCAATGTTTTTTGTTTCCACATTGTTTTGGCAGAATGCAGGAATTGAAGCACTCGTGAACTCTCTTTCTTATTAGTCAACAGGCCAAACAACCAGACGGTCCTGGTGCCAGCAGAGTGTCCTTACCTTAGCCCGGAGCACTGTGCAGTGCAGCTCGCTGGAGCTCTGCTCGTATCTCAGTTCAAACTCCAGTGTTCCCAGAGCAGCTGGGGAAATAACACACGAAGGCAGAGGAGAGAGAGAGACACAATTACTACAACTCATAAAAAAACATGAGTTACAAATGTCGCATCAGTAGACAGAAAAAACATTTTTTTCAAAATCTGTCAGAATAAATTGAAAGCATGCGAGAGAACAGAGTAATAGCTCAGGCACACCGTGCAGTCAGAGGATAGAAATCCAATTTAGTTGAGCAGCACCTGTCACATGAATCTGAGCACAACACATAACATGTCAAACTCCTCTTCAAAGGACAGCAAACACATGCATCAGGGCTGAATACAGCCATGCATACATAGTGTGTGAAAAGGTACAAACATGTTCATACAAGAAACACAAACCAAACACAGCCTGGTTTTCTTCAGGAGCAGTTATGCAAGGTACATTCTACATTCATATTGTACATACATGACATGTGATTCACTGGGATTTGAGCACTATTTAGTCATCAGCGATCATAAATACCAACAAACCACTGCTTCGACAATACACTGTATTTTCATGCTACTTTAACCTGCTGTATGATTTGTCCAGCTGCGCTGGCTTTAGACAGTTGGTGTCGTGCCTCGTTCATGGTTAACTTCCATTGCATTTAAACAGGCCTATTTGAAGGGACTTACCCTTTTCGTACTGGAAAGTCAATTAAGATGAATGAGTAAAGAGATGTAAAACAACTGTCACAAAAAGTCATGTCCAAGAACCACAACAAACTGCATTAAGAACTACAGAAAGACACAAAACAAGCTGCAAAATGGTGGAAAGTAAGTACAGTACATTTACTCAAGCACCTTACTACAAATTTGAAGTACTTCTATTTCTGGGACTGGGAACAAGCAATGTGCATGATACTGGCTGTCTTGTGTTTGAAAAAAATAATAAGAAGAAAAGAAACTATAGTGGACCAGAACGTGGGTCACACAGCATGGGTTGTCTTGAGGTAAAAATAAGAGGAGATAGGGTTCAAAAATGATGGAATAAGAAAAATAACAAAGAGAAGCTGGGAAGAACACCATGGGATTTCTTGCCCAGCAATCCTACCAACCAATTAACAATGTGTTAAGAATTTGTAGGTTAAGCACTAAAGGTTCTTTAAATATGGAAACTCTGAAGCTCTTAGGCATTTACAAATGTATTAAAGTCATACTGTCGTCATGGTGTTAGCTGCATACCTCACTGATGACTATGACAGGATTGGCTCAAAAGTAAAGAAAAATTCTAATTTCTCTGTCAGATAAATGCCTATTTTTAAAAAGAGAAACCTTCATTTAGTCAATTCTGAAGCCACACCAACAGCAAGACCCTGACAATTTAACCACTGCCACACACCTGAGCAAACTCGATGCCTCTGCGCCTGAAGAAGAGCCAGAGCAGAGAGTTTCTAATTTGACATGTAGAGTGCAGAGATAAACATAAGGGCTATGTTTCTCTGCCAGTTTTACAACATTCTGTAGCACTAAACCAGCTCTCAGTGCACTTTCCATTTGCTCCACATGCTATATGCCGGTTTTCCAAATGCTTAGGGTTGTGATTCCACCCACCTACGCTGACTTACAGAAGCCCAGGGCAGAGACGGCTGGCTGCTGTAATATCTCAGGAAAAACAAATGCCGCCCTTCACCACCCTAAAAACGCCACTACAGAGTAATTATACTCAGCAGTGATGAAATCTAAGTCTGCTGGTGAAACCTCTATAAGAGCCATTTGTGCAGAAAGAAGAAATTCTGATAAATTATGTTCTTTGTCGTTGAAAGTGTCTTTTATGTTTGATCAAAGCCTGGAGTTTTAGTTACATGAGACAGACTGTCAGACTGATTCTCTGCTCCTCCCTCTGGCTTTCACCAGCTCTGATGAATCTGAACTCTCATTTGAAAAAATCAGCAACCAGAGACTGCTAAACAAATCTGATAATGAATACATGTGAATGAAGAAATAAATATGGTACAAACCCCCAATTAGTCTTTGTTTTAGAGTGGATCTGAATCACAGAGGAGCTTGAAAACATGTCAGAGGCAACAGCAGTTCAGAGACCAGCATTCAGCCAGTCATTTATCACAGTTTATTCTCATCATGCAACTAAAGGGATTACAGAGAGCATGAAGGAGTGATCTCTTCCCTCTTAAGCAGACTGATTTTTCTGCTCCTGTGACTTCATCGCTCAGAAAGCTCATCATTCTTCTTCAGGAGAACAATGCTGTAATGGAAAGACAATTCAAACACCTTCCAGGCATCTCTAAAGCTGCAGTCAGACGTCTTATCTGCAGTCTGCTGCCTTATCACACACTTTAAATGTCTGTAATCCACTGGAGCTTCATCAGACCTCTAGAAATCTTTTTACTTGAACACTGAGATGTGTTTTGTTGCTGACGTGAGTTAGTTTTGGTTGTTTCTCTGAACTTTATGTCTGTGCTGTAGCTGGAAATATAAATTAGATTTTAGTGGTTTTGCCTATTGATTGAAGTGGAGCCACTGCAGCATCTTTAGATCCCATCAGACTTTGGAGGAGGGGTGAGTCAGCATGTCTGTCCACTAGTTTGGCCCAAAGCAAGATGTCTCATTAACTACAGAACAGATTGCCAATAAAATTGCTAAATGATCCCTGAAGAAAGATTTGTAATGTTTTTGATTACTCCCTGACCTTTCATCTAGAGCCACCATCATGAAAAAGGATGGACTTGTACACAAGAGATGTCAGTGGGTCTAATATACTGTAGGTGGTGGTCAGCCACAAAATGGCAACTGGGTTCTTCTTTGTTATTAGCTAGACTGAGGATGACATCATATTTGCCAGGTAACATGTGAACGTTTTGTTTACTTATGTGTAAAGTAGTAGTAGAGAAAGTAAACCAACAATATTTGCTTTCATGCTTTTGTGGCAGAAGAAGGAAGGCACCTCACTTCTGGGTAGAGGGTGGATACCCGAACCAAACCACAGGACCCATCAGTACCCAAGGGTTCAAGTGGGGTTTGGACAGCAATTTAGAAATCATGTTCAGATTTGGGTTGGGCTTGGCCACTTAGCTCAAATAATAGACATAATTTCACTTGAAAATATTTCATTTGAAAACAAACAGCATGGATCCTTGCTTCCTTCTAACTTAAAAGTGGTATTAAAAATTTAAATGATGAGCTTATGGCAGCTGTGGCGCTGCAGGTTAACACTCTCCATGCCATTAGGCATCCGAACTCAATACTAGAAAAACACAGCACAAAAACTCAACTGTGTTGGGCTCAGTTTGGGTTCAGATACGAAATACAATATTTTTGTCCCATTTGGGTGAGGTTGGGCCAGCACACTGTCAGGCTCAAGTTGGGTATAAATATGTGACCGATCCATACTCTACGTCTAAAACTGTTTCAAACCCTATCAACGAATTGGATTTAAAAAAATGGACTCATTTTAAAAAGTAAAAATGTATTCTATAAGTTAGAAACACAAGAACAACTCGTAAACACACTTGTTAAGTGGCACATATGACTGATTTTATGCGCGGTTCAGACTGCACAATTTAATCCCAATAACAGAGGACACAACAGTCATAGGGTGTCAGAACCAATGAACAGCGTCAGACACGACAACAGAGTGTGTCATAGTAAACAACAGCCAATGCTGTGTCTCGGACACCTCACAACATTCCGACATGATGTCAGATTTTTTTCATGGTCTACGACATGGTGAGGCGACGCTCACCAGCAGTAGCACAGCTTGCACTTCTGTTCACAGCACTTTTGGCATATTGGACTGAACCATATTCATTAAATCTCACAGTGATACAGCTAAAGTTGCCAGAGAGACTTTTGTAGTCAGCCTTGTCAAGTAGCTACCCTATCAGTCTTCTGTCTTACTACTGACAAAATACTTATTTTTAATTGCTATATCAAGTTATCCAGGAAGGTTAGACATCACAGGCTGCTGGCCTTTTCGTGAGACCCACAGACAGGTCCACGGTGGTTTATTCTTTTCCTGGACACAACCAGCCAGTATAACACATACTCTACTAACGGTCCCTGGCACCTCCAAGTCATGAAAGACAGCAGGCTGTGATCTGACGGGTACCAACATGTTGTCTGTCATGTCCTTGTCCAAGAATTTATGACTTTATAATCATGTGATCTGGCATAGTGACCATTGTATCAGACAAAAAAATCATGTAGTCCGAGCCAGACATAAGAGAACATTCACCAGTGTGACAAATTAGTACAGAGCCTGTGAAGGGCTATTTCAAAAGATCACTTGAAACAGCAGTTCCAGTGAAGTCCACACTGTGATCGCACTGACTGTACATGTGCCAGACAAGTAAAGTGGATGCTCATTTTGTGCACCATATGTATTATATCTGAAACGTTTCTGCTTAGGAATATCCTCAATATAGTATGAATCAAAGCAATCTGAGGGCAGGGACCACCTGTTCAACATCTGGTTAGAAGGTGAATCATTTTTATCACTCTTGAATGCATTTACAGTTTTTATGCTTTTTAGAGATCAACTCAAAACACATCATTTGGCCAAATGTAAGTGTGGTCTAAGTTGTAGTTTTTGTTAAGTTTCTCTTGTACACTCTTTTCTCTCTGTCTCCACCTGTCATTTTCTTCTATCAAAGCTTATTAGTGTATTGAGAATATAAATTGATAGAACTCAGGCCTGAACAAAAATTTACATAATCTGTAAATGAATGAGTATAGTGAGGTAAAAAGTTACAATCAGAAATCTCCCCTCTCTGCAACCACATTAGTTAGTGGACCAAAACAAGCCACTGCCCTAATTGAAGTGACACACCCCAGACCTGGGATTCCTATTTTCTTTCTACTGCCTTGTGCGCATGGGTTTACCAGTTGGGCCATTTTCCATACATTGTTTGCAGGCTAAAAGCTGTAGCTAATATCTGTGCAGTGGATGTAAAATACTTTTGCTGTGTCATGCAAAAAGCTGAGTGAAGAAGCATCTTTTCCTGCTGCTACAGTACCATTCTGTACATTAATACAGATGCACAGTAACAAACACACACAGACACATGCCAACAGCGAGGCTCACTGCAGTCGTCACTGTCAGAGCTGTTGATCTCCACCGATGTATCAACGCTACTGGTCAGAGACAATGACCCGCCCCCACCCGGCCTGCCGTGGGCCAGCAGAGGAGACAGGAGGTGAGCCCCGCGCATCCCAGAGGCCACAGAGCTGGGGCTGAGTGACAGAGGGGAGGAAGCAGGAATCGGTGACATGGTGGGGTTTGGGGAGATGGGAGTGGGGGAGGTGGGGGACAGGCGGGGAAAGTAGGCGGAGATCTGTTGGATGGGTCTGATGGGGCCGGGACAAACGTCAATAGCCATGTGTTCCTGGATGGAGATGCTGAGCTTCTTTCCTCTCTGCACCGTCATAGAGTCTGGAAAAAAAGTGAGGTTTAGCTTAAATTAATTCTTAAAAAGAAAAAGAGAGTGAGAGAGAGACACTGAGAATCTGAGAGGGACATGGCTAAAATCAGTAGTCCACATTGACCAGAAGCTATTTAGACTCAATCCAAAACACAGTGAACCTTAACAGAACCACGCAGAGAGTAAGCATCAAACATGCAATAACATGATGCTCCACCAATTAATGAGCAGCCATGGTAGAAAAGAGAATTAATAGGTCGTTTTTCTTGCACTGGACATTGTAGTTTTGTGCATTTGTAAAGGGGCAATTTTCAGCAGCAGATTAATCCACGTTTGGTGCTCTAGTGAGTATTTGGGGCAACAGAAAGGTGTATGTGGCAGCAGTGTTGTAGTACTGGAGTCCAATGCGGGTTCTGATTTTCAGGACTCGTGACTCAACTTGGACTTGAGCACTGATGACTCAGACTTCAGTTTGGACTTGAGCATTGACTGCATTTGGACTCGGAAGTTGGAGACGAGGAGATGAGGACTGAATGATTTTTTTTTGTAATAGGCCATAATAATTTGGCATAAGATACAGAGCAATATGGTGATGCAATACACTGTTAGAAAATTTGGACTGTCAGCATTTGACACCCACAAATCAGCAAATGATGTTTGTTTTTCACCAACTGTGCTTAAAGAGCCCATGACATGCTTTTCCTTGGTTTTTGATGCATCTACATTGTTACAATGTTGAATTATGTTAGACGTGACCTAAAGCTCAAAAAAATGAGGTGTACTTATGTTCTAGTACTTCTATGCAGAAGCAACTGGGTTTATGTTGTACATGTCTTGCACAAGACTTTTTTTCTAACAAAATTAAGTATTACGTGATAGTTTAAGGATTTCCTTGAATGTTCATAATCTCCAGGCAGTTGCACGTTCATGTGAGCTTGCCTGACATCCACCGGTGCCATTGTAAAAGCAGAATGTTTCGAGTGCACCTGGTTTTGTGGATATAGTTTACCTCCTGCCGCTGCACTGTGACCAGAGGACGTGGAGAAAAATATAGGGCCTGAAGATACTGCATGACCAGGAATGTTCCTGTACAGGGACTCACTGTTTTACCTGGACATATGATCAGCCGGCCAGTGAAGCTGTGCCACAGTTAATAATCAACTCACCAATGCTAGTTTCCTCCGGAGCACACTACCTGTTTGTTTTGACAGTTTGAGGCCAGTGTGTCTGCTCTGATGTGTTGCTGGTTAACAAGCAGATTAATGACCCATGATGCTATTGTTGGTGTTATGCTACCTGTTGGAATTAATTTCATTACTTTGGGACTGTATGTGGTCATGTGGGGGAAGACGCAGTGACCACTGGTTAGATTTACCAACCTTGGAGCTACTTGAAAGGGAGTGATGTTTCCACTATTCGCTGGGACTTAACTGTAAGTTTAAAAACACACATTACTTGTCTTTTAATGCCTTGTTTCTGTAATGTTAAAGAAAATTGTTGTAAGGCTGGAGAAGTTACTATGTCTGCATTAATCCAGTTAAAATATGGAGTTTCTCAATTACCTGCTTTGTTTAGAGTGTTACACGTTTCTTTTCATTGGTACATATACCGCTGTTAATCTGTCTATGGAAGGAGAAATTCAAATTAATTAATGCCGCCGTAAATTCATTGTGCTGTCCACTTGTGACACAACACTAGCAGCAGGTGTTGTGCGTGTTGATGAACTATCCTCTCGTTTTGAGAAAGAGGCTTTTTGGCTCTGTGATTCTGAAACAATTACAAACTATTGAGAGTTGTGAGTGGTGCCAAGCTAATCTAGAGGTGCCCAACAAAACAAACAAAATGAGCATGCCATGGGCACTTTGACCAATCGGGGTCAAGGGCCCTGCGAGCACCCACCCCCTCCCCCTCAAATTTCTCAAACTTGATTTAGGGCTACCTCCTGCGGTAGGCAGTGGAAAAGAAAGCAGAACCTGGCTAATGATATATACAGTACATTCATTTACTGGTCGGTCGACTGCAACAGTGGAAAAGGCCTAAGCATAAATTACAGTGTGTGTTCATGGTAATGAAGAAATATGTCAGCCAGAGCAACAGTTTGGTCACTGATATGTTTTTAATCACTTCTGGACAATAGTGGAGATCCATGGCACAGAGGAATGAGGTACGTAGATCCTACTAACATTTATTTTTAGTAGGATACAATCAGTATTGGATTGAGTCTGCACATGGGAATTGTTGATGGGAATTGTTGAAGAAAAAAAACAACTGGCAGACACATTACAGCTCACATTCTTATGTTTGTGTAGACCTTTAGTATTACCCCTTTTTCACATCAAACTCTCACTCCAACAGTTGGAAGTCATGGGAAATCTGTGCTGCACTGATTTTGACTTTACCACTTGATGTTCCATGTTAATGGAAGCACAACTATGATTGTTGGTGACACCAGTCTGTGACCATGTAGCTCTAACAGCAACCTCTGCGGCCCAGTGAATGTAGCTGACAGCAGGTGCTTAATGAGCTGTGTATATGTGTGAGAGTCTGACACAAAATCAAGACTGGGTATGCAGGGAGTGTGTTTGAGTTTGAGAAAGCAGAGAGAAAAGGTGTGTCACAGGCATGAGGTTGAGGGAAATTGAAGCTAAACTAGAAAAAAGAAAGAGAGAGATACTGTACCAGGCAGTTTAAGAAACACTGTGTGGTACAGACATAACAAAAAAGACACAGAAACCATATACAGGACCAGAACTGCCAAAGAATGCAAAGACAGCTCCTGACTAGATTTCTATTTTCCTACATACACAACTGGTCAGCGTGGGTTCTCTCGGGTACTCTGGCTTCCTCCCACAGTCCAAAGACATGCAGCTTAGGTTGACTGGCAACTCTAAGTGTGTGTGGTTGTTTGTCTCTAAGTATCAGTGCTGTGACAGACTGGCGACCTGTCCAGGATGGACTCTGCCTCTCGCCCAGTGTCAGCTGAGATTGGCTCCAGCCCCCCAGCAACCTGAGAACTTGTTTAATGAACAACATGGTGAAAGTCAGACAGCGTCTGTGCCCCCCTACTACACAAATATGTGACATCTTCACATAATATATAGGTGCAAATAACTGGCATATCAGTTTGTAACATGAGCCTTGTATTTCTACTATTACACTTGTTGCAATGAAAGATAAAATAGTTGCCGCCATAACAACTTTCCAGAATTACAAACCACTGCACAGTGTTTTGACCGATATAGTTTCAGATTCATGGCTCTGTTGCTCAAACTAGATTTTCTGTGTTTAATTTCTCTTCTCAGCAGTACCTGATCAACACAACTGCTTACACTGTTTTAACACAGGACTATTTTTGGTCTGAATGCCCACTGAGGAGGCGTGTCAAGGTGGGTGGCTGTGAGTACAAAGCATTTGACTGTGACACCAGACCGTGGTTTCCATCCGGCTTCCTACTGTTGAATCCTTTTAACTAGCACCCAGGCCTACCCCTGATACTGGACTGTCATGCTATGTATCACAGTGCCGACACTTGGAGACAGACAAACACACTCACTACTACAGGCAATTTAGAGTCACCAGTCAACCTAAGCTTGGACTGTGGGAGGAAGCCAGAGTACCCACGCACAAGGAGAACATGCAAATTCCACACAGAAAGGCACCAGGTTGGCCTGGAGACAAACCTGGGACCTTCTTGTTGTGAGGTGACAGCGCTAACCACTGCGTCACCTCCAAAGTGAATTTGCTGGTCAAATCTGACATCAGGAACGCTACCACCACCTCCCCCATTTTCAGACATGATATGTCAGACAAGTGCAGCATCCTGGGGAGTTTACAAGAAGAGTCCTGGAAGGGTCAAATGTAGATGTGACACTGACTCATCTCATAGGCAGGAATGGAAAGTATCATGAGAGTAGGACACCTGGCATCCATTACTTCATGTACTACATAACTCAAGTGTAAAGATCTTATTATACATACTTGTACTTATTATAGATGTATAAAACACATTTAGACATTTTAGGAGACAAATAAATAACACCTACAGTAATAATAAACAATGATACGTTATCTGTGGTCTTTTATTGTTTTACCGATTGGTCTCTTGAAGAAGCCATGGCCACTCGAGCAGCAGTCAGCCATATACAAAATGAGCTCTGAAACAACTGCAGATGTGCCTTAATGTATATATATGATAAATGAAATACACATACATGGAAAATAGTAGGAAAAAATGAATAAAAATGACAGTGCAGGTGAATAATCTTTTTTTTTTTAAGTCACAAAAGTTTTTTAAGAACTGGAAGTTAGAGCAAAGCCATAGTCAACTAATTAGTGCTTCTCCGTGATTAGATTTGACTCCAGGGACAGTAAAAAACAGACCACCACCAAATATATTACAGCAGCAATCAACAACAACCCTCAGAAGGCTGGAAACTTATTAGAATTAACCAGAAAAAAGAACTAAACACAGCATCCAGTGCAACAGGCATAATAAGCTACATAAATCAGGTAGCTTCTACAATAACACTTCTTATAGTACCAACATCAAAATAAAGCCTCTACAAGGCAAACAGCACCACAGCAGACATGAGCACGAGTTGCCACAGTACTGTATCAGTGTATTAAAAATCAGAGAGCTTCTTGCTGTACGCACTTCTCTGAACACCATTCTGTGAACTTTGCTCTCAGTGAAGTCCGCCAGTCAGTTCCAGGTTCAAGTACTTTACTTAATGCATACTATGATTTGTCAGTTCACACTTCGTATTTTACACTGCTCAAATAGCAATATTTAGCTGAGAATGAGCAATCACAGCTGTGTCAGCAGTGATCAGAAACAGTAGAAATACAGTGTTAACTGGAAGTTTTTAAGTGAGCGCAGAAGTCACCATGATCCCAGGAAGATCCATCATGAGAAATTTGTTGGTCATGCAGCACTGTGTGTGTGAGATCAATCTGAGTCTTAGTGTGTTCACTAGGTTGTGATTAAATTGATTAAAATTAAAGCTAAATA